AACTGAGTTTATAAATCATTTATAAATTTATTTTCCAACTGTATTTAAATACTATCCACGACATCTCGATATAAAATAATATTAATTGGACAACGACTTAGGACTCCTTTGGGAATGGGAATATGGAGGTATAAGAATACCTCGCACATCACATGGAAATTAAAAAATTTGCTTGGAATATACATTTATACCTCCTACCACATTTAAAATCCCACGAATAATAACTTTATTATTTAAAAATATACAAGTTTTCTTGTGCATCACCTTCGTTCAACTTTTAGAATTAAAAAAACTAGAATTCTTGTGCACCTCTGTCGTTCGACTTGCACTCAAGTCCGTCCCATTGTTTTACAGTACTTTTGCTTCCTTGATGTCACGATGCTTTACGGGCGATCCCTTTCCAATAATTAACTGCATTTTTGTTTTCTTGATTTCATGGTGCTTTACCGGCGTGTGACTTTTCCTCAATACATTCAAAGCGACATTAAAGAATGCAGAAAATTCTACGAGTCACAAAAGTGTTCCACTTCACTTGTCTATTCGAGTGGCCAATCTTTCTTTTGACTAAATGAACCAATTTTGAGTGAGAATGAAATTTATGTAGAAAAAAGAAGCAAAAATCCAAATCAACCTACTAAAGCTGTGAAAAGATTTGAAAATTACTTCTCCTTTTGCATTTATAAACACGTTCAATATTGGCATTACACAATGATGCGACTCAACAAGTAAAACTGTCCAATTATCGCCTTCCATGTATACAATGTTTGGTATATTGTAATGTTGGAAAGGATGTGTTTGATGAGTCTGCACAAAGTAAGAGTATGACTCATAAAAGAACGACGAAGACTTGCCCCTCTCTAGCAATTTGCTTTCATCGTAGGATATAAATGTTGGACAAAATAATAGTAACATGCAGAAAAACTTATCAACTTTATTTGTACTTTTAGTTGTGCTTTTAAACTTTATTTGTACTTTTTTTATTCACGACATTTTAAAAAATAAACAATATTAAATATCATAATTTTGCGATGATACAATATTATTGAAATATATATATTTTTTATTTTCATGAAACAGACACCATTTTAAAATATCGCACAAGACATCCAAAATTTCAGGGCCGACCATGTTTGCATCCATTAGAAATTATTTTCAAAGCATACACGTGCCCATATTCACCGTGGTGGATATTTTAAGAAAATAATTTGGAACATGCAATCATATTTTTCTTTCAAAAATTCGTTTGATCTATCGAGGTGGGAGAACGAGGTACTAGTGAGTTTGTCCTGTTTAATTTTATTATTTCATGTTGATGAATGTTATGTTAATGAAAAATACGATATGATATGATACGATATAATATGGTCATTCGGTGCTAAAAATATGATATATTTTAAGCTCTTACGGGTTTCTAAAGATATGATGCGATAATATGACTATTTTAATATATGAATTGATGTTTTATGCGGGATTGCACAATAATCGTGTCATATTGAATATTATCATATACTCATCATTTTCCCCACCTCTCATATGTTAGAATGGGTCGTTGGTTGGCAGACGATAAGGTGTTGTTGTGTTGGTGGAATTAGCGGTGGCAACGAGCCGAGCCGGGAAAAAAAAGCTCGGGCCGAGCCCGAGCTTTTTTGGACCGAGCTTTTTTCGGCCCGAGCCGAGCCGGGCCCGGCCAAAAAAAATGAGGCTCGGCCCGAGCATTCGAGCC